TCACAAAACCTACCCTTAACATCCATCCAACTAAGTGAATCCTGACAAAATGTGCTACTGTAAGGGCAGCTACTATGGAGGCCTGGGCTATGGCTGTGGCTCTGGTTATGGCTGTGGATGTGGCAGCTTCCGGGGCCTAGGCTGTGGCTTTGGCAACTATGGCTATGGAGGCCTGGGCTGTGGTGGCTATGGCTATGGCTGCTGGCGCCCATCTTGCTATGGAAGGTATTACCCCTATGGCTTCTACTGAAAACCATTTGCCCTTGGCCTATCATGGCAACTTGTCCTGCCCTGCTTTGGGCTAATTCCGTGGCCTTGTAAGGACCTCACATTCCATCTGCCTCTATGACTGCATGCCATGAGAGAGCTAAAATAACAGGGCCTTGGAATCCCTATGAAGCGCTCAGGACAGGGAAGTGACGGGGACTGAGAAACAGCAGGATGTGTTCTTCTGGAATCTGATGCAGAATCACACTTGTCATGAGGGAGACTCCTCCAATGACAACTCATTTCCAGCAAGATTGCTCAGTTCTGATGGACCATGGCTGAGCCTTCTGTTAAAACTTTCTAATAAACTTATTTCACTGGCTTAGCAAAACTGTGTTTGCCTCTCCTCCTTGACCTCACCCTACTTGGGTTTCAGCCTCTCATCAAGAAGAGATTTTCAGCCTTGAGGTACTTATCCCCATCATTGCAGAAGATTTGGTCTCCAATGAGGTGACCCCTCTCCAGATTTCTGTTCAGAAAACACCTTTTCCTTGTTAAATGTCTTTCTAAAATTTGACTTCTGCAGTGCTTCATTTTAGTATATCATAATACTCAGACCCCACATTGCTAAACTCAAGGCATTGGTCCCTTTAAAGTGCATTCCTTCTCACATGTTCTACCAACACAGGGACAGGCAATTTTCTTCAAGATTGCAAAAAGTTTCACATGTTTATGGTGTCATGTGTCATGATTCATGACCTCCAGTTCCAAGGTGTCCCTGATTCTGTATGAATTGGCTAAAGCTATTGTTGGGGCAGCTAGGTGGTGTATTTTATCCAGAATTGGGCCTAGCATCATCTTTTTGAGTTCAAATCTGTCATCAGACACTAGTTTACATGACCCTGGGGAAGTCACTTAACCCTACTGGCCACAGTTTCCTCATTTGTCAAATGAGCTGGAGAAGAAAATGACAAACCACTCTGTTATCATTACCAAGAAACCCCTGAATGATCTCCCAGTTTACAAATAACTGAACAAAACATCCCTTGCATAGCTTTCTTCCACCATTTTGTTGTCAGCAAGTAATCTGAAGTCTTGGAGCACAGCACAATTGAATAGCCCACCACAAAAATTACAAAAGAAAGTCATCTCGAAGTCTGAAGGTTGTCATGGAACCTTGTACCTTTTGTTTGCCCAGTCTCCTGAGGACAACTGCTCAGCCTGTCCAACTTATAATACTAACCTCAAGCTGAGTCCTCCTGTCAGCAGAGAAAGAGGTTCCATTGTTGCAAGGGCATCCAGTAAAACACTCAAAAACCTCAACTCCCTAATAAACTCAGACACAAAGGAAAGAAAACATCTGCTTTGTGGCTCTGCTTGCTGTCTATGGGCCTTTAGATTCCTCACCTCTATAGGCCAATATGGTCCCTGAAATCATTCACTTTGTATTGGTCGTTGGGAAGCAAGCCAAGCTTAGCACATTTTCTGGCACTGAGTGGTTGGTGAATAATTGTTTATTAATTGAACTTGTGTATCAGACAGTGGAGAAAACCATACAAGTGCCAGTACCATCATTAATTTGAAATGCATTTTTATTACTATATATGTCTCCTTGGAATTATTCTGATTTGAAAGGAAAAAAAATATACATTTCTGTATATCTACAGGATTTTGGAGGGAAATGCCCTCAACAGTCTCACTCTACTTGATTTCTCCCAAAACATACCTCCAAAAGATTCACCAGTGGTTTGTCAGGAATCATTCAATGGGAACAAATTCTTCAGGAACAAGATAATTTTTCTCCTGGACACTTCACATTAGGCAAAGAATATTCCATTTTGTTTAACAAAGACAAAAATCAGTTTAGGGGTGGGTAGGACAAATGCCATCTCTGAAACCGTGTTATGCCCCCTCGGCATAAACAAAAATGATCTAATACTTATACTATGTGAGGGCTGTTGAAACACCCTTCAAATGCTAAGTTAAGCCCCTCAGTATTCTCTAAAATGAAGAATCTCAGTTCCTCCAAGTGAGTCTCTTGGGTCTTCAGGTGGAGGCCCTTCAGCCTCATGGTCTGGACTTCTGTGGATACTCTCCTTAGCTTAGGCAAAGACTGGCCATGCACGGAGCAGTGCAGGTTACAGCCTGACCATCACCTCCATTTTCCTGCCTTCTAGGCTCTTGTACCTCTCTTCATGCAATCACAAGGTCACAGTGGGATTTCTGATTGTCATTGACATCCTAATTGGCTTCCTTATCCTTGAAAGAAGAGTTGAAAAAGGATTGCAAGATGGGAGGAGTGATGAGACAGTTATTGCTGCCCTAACCTCTTTGAGCTCAATTTTCTAAACTCACGTGAAGGATTTCTGAGATGCTCCACAATCAGAGAACTACAGCCTGCCTTCTCTTCTCTCCACTATATTCTCTCAGATCTGCCATGAGCTCAGTTCCCTTCCCTCTGGTGCTCAATATCCCTTCTCCAGTTCCAAACCAGCATTTCTCTGGAACTAATTTATACACCAGACTCTCTGCCCCCACACAGATTGCATGACCCTACCAACCTCACATAATCAGCACTTTCCAGGACTTCCAAAATTAAAAGGTCCATGACTCTACTGAAGTCACTTGGGCCTACTCAGGGTCTCTGGCTACTCTCCTTTCACTGTCTTTGAAAGCCCTGAACATCAGGTTCCTGACCTTAACTTTGAGAGAAACTACTCTCTCCAGAGTTCCCAGTGATAGCCTTATGACCAAAACTAATGGCCTCTTCTGAGTCTTCCTTCTTCTTCACCTGCCTTAGAATTTTGACTGCTCTGCCCAACAGGTGCTGCTGGGTGTGTGTGCTTTTCTAGCCTAACTCTTCCTTTATGACAGACTTAGGTGGCCCATCATCCCATCATCTCAGACCCTCTGTCTCTGGCTGAACCATACATTTGTGTCTCTTTTCCCTTCTCTCTTCTCTACATTCTACAGAGGTGAAACAGTAGACCCTACTTAGGTCTCAGGGTTTCATTGACCTTTTCACTGCCACTCTCTGTGAAATCTGCAAATGCGGACATTCATCTCTCCTTAGTAACAGTACCACATCATTAACTGCCAATATTCAGAAATTTAACTTGATTCTTACTACATATCTCAATGCTCCCAATTCTAGTAGAGATTTCCTCTTCCTGCTTTGTCCAAAGCATACTACCTCTTCTCAAATTCTCTATTCCTTTCCAGATCACGAACATCAAGCCAAGGTTTTTAGGTCCACCCTATCAGGGACCTCCTTGACCCCTCATTATCACTGCATCTATTTGATCAGTTCACAAGACTCCTTCTATCTACCTGCATAATATCTCTGGCATCCAAACACTTTTCTCAAATGCATTATCTCCCATCTTAGATCAGGGCCTCACAGCTCCTCTCTGCAAGTGCCTTTGATAGGCCTCCCTGCTTCAATCATCTTCCCACTCACGTTGCTTCTAAAAACAGCAGCCTAAGATATTTTCCTAAAGCATTCATCTGACTCCTGTTCCCCTTAAAGCCCTTCAAGTCCCTGACTTTGCACAAATTATCTTGTAAACTCCAGTTGCTTCCTATTTTGTGCTGATTTAAATAGGCATTTCACCCTCTTCTTTAGCTGGCCCATTCCCACCTTTCCAGTCTCAGTACACTTTATTTTGCTCCCCACAATTTGATGGTCTTGCCAGTGCTAGTCTACTTTCTTTTACTTGGACAATGCTTAGACTCAGACAAAAATAAGTTAAGGGACTTTCCACATCATTAAGTCACCACCACCATTCTTGGTCACCATAACAAACAAAAATAAGGGTGGAGGGCCTCTAGTTAGCTTCCTATGATTAAGCAAGTGAACTTACAATCTACAGGTCACAACTTAATATACAGAACTTATAATCCCTACCCCTATGAAATCATATCAAATTGATTAATATTGATTGGAATGGAGTAGGGGTCCAGATGAATTATTTCTCACATCTGCTCAGAATTCTATCCTCTCTTCTCTCTCCCTCTCTGACTTTGTATTCCATTATATTCTCAGTTTTAAAATCTCCTTTCCCCTAATGGCTTCTACCTCTGCTTCTGACATCTTCCCCCATCAACATTCCATGTTTGGGGCAGGTGCTTTGGTTTTTTCATGGTCTTCCTAAACTTAACATTTCATAGTTACCAGAGGACAGGGACTTTGTTGACATTCCTTTGTATCCCTAACATAAGCACAGCGGCTGTCACAGTGCAAACACTGGGGAAGTGATTGGTTTTTTGAATGGTTGTTGGACAGATGGAATCCACAAAGCTATGCTCCGCCACAATCTCAACTCCAATCTGAAATTTCTGTGAATTTTTCTGTCACTTGAGTCTCAAGAAGCATTGTTTTAGAGAGACAGCATTCCATTGCCCAGACCAAGAATCAGAAGGTAAGAAAGAAAAGTGTGATGTAAGGAGAACAATCCCATCTGGGAGAGGGATTCCATGAAGCCTGGGTAGGGCATCAGCCACATTAACCACAGAGGCCTTAGCAACACGATAATCATTTCTCATTATAGTGACAAGATAATGGCTGAGCCTTCTCAGAGGAACCACAAATTAAGAAAAAATAAAACTGTTACTGAGCTGGAGGAATTGTTGTCAGGGACCAAACAATGACAAGAATGGGATTTTGCCCTGACAATTTCGCTAATGGAAGTTATGCAATTCTGGTTCTGCGTCTGCCACGCCCCCTTCCTGCTGGAAGTATATAAAAGTCACTGTGCTGATAGTGCCATATATACTCACACAATCTACTTTTAACATCCATCAGACTAACTGAATTCTGACACCATGTGCTACTATGGCAGCTACTATGGGGGCCTGGGCTGTGGCTATGGCTCTGGTTATGGCTGTGGATGTGGCAGCTTCCATGGCCTAGGCTGTGGATTTGGCAACTATGGCTATGGAGGCCTGGGCTATGGTGGCTATGGCTATGGCTGCTACCGCCCATCTCGCTATGGAAGATATTACTCCTATGGCTTCTACTAAAAACCATTTGCTCTTGGCCTATCATGGCAACTTGTCCTGCCCTGCTTTGGGCTAATTCCATGACCTTGTAAGGACATCACATTCCACCTGCCTCTATGGCTGGGTGGCATGGGAGAGCTACCACAACAGGGCTTTGGAATTCCTATGGAGCACTCAGGGCAGAGAATGAGAAGCAGCTGGACCTGTTCTTCTGGGATTTGATGCAGAATCTCACCCGGCACGAGGGAGATTCCTCCAATGACAACTCATTTCCAGCAAGTTTATTCAGTTCTGATAGACCATGGCTGAGCCATTTATTACAACTGTCTAATAAACTTGTTTCACTGGCTTAGCAAAATTGTGTTTGCCTCTCCTACTTGACCTCACTCTCTTTGGGTTTCAGCCTCTCATCATGAAGAGATTTTCAGCTTTGATGTACATCATTGCAGAAGATTTGCCCTCCAATGCATCTTTTACAATCAGATGATCCCTCTCCAGATTTTTGTTCAGAAAACATATTGTTTCCCTTTTCAATATCTTTCTAAAATTTGACTTCTTGTAGTACTTTATTTTAGTACTTCGTAGTATTTCAGCCACACCTTACTAAATGGAAGGCATTTGTCCCATATAACCTGCATCCTTTCTCATATGTTTTAGGCACACAGGACAGGGCTTTTATGTTGAAGGTTTCAAAAAGATTCACATGCTTATGGTGTCATGTTCATGGTTGGTGACCCCAGACCAGGTGTCCCTGATGGCAGAGAATTCATTCAACCTATGTCTTGTCTGGGGCAGTTAGGTGGTGCCATGGGTCAAGTGTCAGACCTGAAATTAGGAAGACTCATCTTCCTGAGTTGAAATTTGGTCTTGAAAATTAATTAGTCTATGGGACCCTGGCAAGTCACTTAACCCTATTTGCCTACTTTCATCATTTGTCAAATGAGTTGGAAAAAGAATTGGCAAACCACTGCAATATCTTTGCTAAGAAAACACCAAATGCAATCACTAAGAGTAAGAGTTGGATATGAGTGAAAAATGACTGAACAACAAATCACTTGTCTAGCTGTCTTCCACCTCTTTGTTATCACCAAGCAATCTAAAGATTTGGAGCAAAGCACAAGTGAATGGCCCATGACAAATATTGCACAAGAGAGTCATTTACCAAGTCTGAAAGTTGTTATGAAACCTCTCCACTGGGTGGGCCGCACCTCCTCCAGCCAATTGTACAACCTGTCCAACACAGAACACTGCTTTCAAATTGAAGCGCATCTGTCCATGGGGGAAGTACATTCATTGTTGCAAAGGTTTTGAATCACCTAAACTCTCTAATCAACTCAAATTTCCAGATTAAGAGGGCATCTGCTTTACTGCTCCACAACCAGCTTGGGACCTTTGGGTTGCTCAGCTCCATGAGTCAACAGGGTCCCTGAAATCATGTCCCTCAGATGGGTTTTCAGGAAGAATGACAGAGCTTAGCATACTATGTGGCACATAGTAGGTGCTTAATAAATGTTTATTGATTGAAATTGTGTTTCAAACAGTGGAGGAAATAGTAGAATTGTCACTACCAATAAACTTTATTCCTCCTGCTGTATGTTAGCTTAAAATGAATTTCTGTTGCTATATATGGCTCCTAGCCATTTATTCTCCTTCCACAAAAAGCATGTATATTTCTATATTTCTACTAGATTTTTGACAAAAATGCCCTCAGTGGCCTCACTATATTTGATTCCTTCCAAAATATATCTCCAAAAGATTTACCAATTGTTTGTCAGGAAACAATATATGAAAGTCAATTAGATGGAAACTTATCCTTCAGGAATAAAATCATTTCTCTCTTGGATGGGTCTCATTGGGCAAAGAATATTTCATTCTCCTTAGCAAAGACAAAAATCAATCTATATGGGAGAAATGCCAATTGAATCCACATTCTCCCTCTTAGGAACAAAAAGAATAGATCTAATACCTGTAACTATGTGTTGGCCATTAAAACACACCAAGAGAACTAGGGCAGCCTCCTAAGTGTCCCAGTTTCTTCAAGTGAATTTCTTAGGGTTTGAACTGAAGGCCCTTCTACCCACTGGTCTGGACTCCTCTGGATGTTTTCCAACTCAGCCAAAGACCAACCAGTCGCTGAGCAGTGCATATTACAGATGGATCATCATATCAGTTTCCTGAGTTCCTGTCTCTTGTGTGCCTCTTCTTGCAATCTTGGGGTCACAGTGTGATTACTGGCTGTCATATGACATCTTATTGGGCTTCCTTATCCTTTAGTGTGCTGCTGTAAGAGGTTTCAAAACTGGGAGGAGAGAGGAGATATCTATTGCTCTCCCATTCATCTTGAGCTTATTTTTCTCCTGGTCAATGAAAGTCTTTCTGAGACACTCCACAATCAGAGAGCTACAGCCTGACTTCTCTACACAATACTCACTCACCTCCTTTCTCTGAAAGAATCTTGGCTTGGATTCCCACCCAGATCCCTTCTCTACTCTGCTACCCAAGAAATTTTCCCAAAGCATTCTTCTAGCTCCTTTTCCCCTATAACACCCAAACATCCCAGGCCCCACACTTGTTATCTGGTAACCCCTCCTTGTTTCCTTTCCTGCGCTGATTTAAATAGAGACATTCTATCAGACATGTTGTCCTCTTCATCAGATGGCCCTTCCCCACATTTCAAGTCTTGGTATACTTCAGCACCCTCCCCATATTTCATGGTCCTGCCCATGTTGACCTATTTGCGTTCCCTCAGATACTTCTGCTTGACTTTGCACTGCATGGCTGTCCACTCTGCCCAGAATGCTCTCTTCTTTTTGCCTTCCTGTCTGACCTTCCCTGGTCCAATACAGTCTTAGCTCTAATATCACTTATGCCATGTGGTCTTATCCCTTTATAGGAATGACTTGTACCTTTCCTCTCAGATATTCTCCCCTCAATTCCCCATGTTCCTCAGAAGTGCTTGTTTTTTATATCCTCAAGGGCTTTAGAATATTGGAACTCCCAGAAACAGGAGATCCTTTGACATTTCTTTGTATCCCTAGCCCTCAGTATAGTGGCTGGCACAGTGCAAATACTGGGGACCTGGTTTGTGCTTGGATTGATTTTGGCATTGTTGTTTGATTGACCTATTTCATACACTGGTGCCCAACCACCAACTCAACTCCAATCTAAAACTTGTGTAACTCTGTCACTTAAATCTCAAGAAGCACTTGTTAAAGAGACAGGATTCACCTACCCTGATTCTGAATGCCAGAATGGAAAGCATAATGGAAAGAAGGCAGAGCCACCCAAAAGAGGGCTGCCATGAAGTCTAGAGAGGGCATCAGCCACACTAACAACAGGCTTTGGCAACACTATAGTCATGTTTCATTACAGAAATGAGATCATAACATAATCTTCTCAAAAAAAGAACAAATCAAGAGAAAACAGCCTTAAGGAGCTGGAAGAATTGTTGTCAGGGACAAAATGATGACAAGAATGTGATTTTGCCCGAGCAATTTCATTAAAGGGAGTTGTGCAATTCTGGAAGGAATCTGCAACACCTCCTACTGGAAATGTATAAAAGTCCCCATGCAGATGGTACCTTACACACTCATACAATCTACCTTTAACGTCCATCTAAGTGAATCCTGACACAATGTGCTACTATGGCAGCTACTATGGGGGCCTGGGCTATAGCTATGGCTCTGGTTATGGCTGTGGATGTGGCAGTTTCCATGGCCTCAGCTGTGGCTTTGGCAGCTTGGGCTATGGAGGCCTGGGCTATGGTGGCTGTGGCTATGGCTGCTGGTGCCCATCTTGCTATGGAAGGTATTATTCCTATGGCTTCTACTGAAAAGCATTTGCCCTTGGCTTCTCATGGCAACTTGCCTGCCCTGCTTTGGGCTAATTTCATGACTTTGTAAGGACCTCACATTCCACCTGCCTCTATGGCTGGGTGGGATGGGAGAGCTACCACAACAAGGCCTTGGAATCTCTATGGAGCACTTAACGGCAGTGAAATGGCAGGACTTGTCCTTCTGGGAAATGATGTAGAATCTCACCTGTCATGAGGGAGACTCCTCCAATGATAGCTCATTTCCAGCAAGTTTACTCAGCTCTGATACACTGTGTCTGAGGTATTTGTTACAATGTTTTGTTAAACCTCCTTCACTGGCTCAGCAAAACTTTTTTCATCTCTCTGCCTTGACCTCACTGTACTTGGGTGTCAATCTGAGATTTTTAATCTTGAGCTATGACTGATTGTCATTGCAAAAGATTTATTCTCCAATGAAATGATACCTCTCCAGATTTCTATGGGGAAAAAAACATATTATTTCCTTGTTAAATGTCTTTCTAAAGTTTGACTTTTGTAGCATTTACATTTTAGTACTTCTTAGTGTCCAACCCCAACTTTATTAAAGATAAGGTATTTGTCTCTATAACTGCCATGTTCTCTGTGCACATAGACAGGGTTTGTATCTTCAAGGTTTCAAAAAGATTCATGTGTTCAGGGCCTCGTGTTCATGGTTCATGACCTCCAGATCCCAGGTGTCCCTGATGACTGTCAGAATTTGGCTTAGCCCATCCCTTGTCTAGATAACCACTTCTTAAACTGTGGGTTGTGACCCCATAAAAATTTGGCAGTAAGCAGTGAAAGGTTTGAGCAAGAGCCAAAACTTAATTAAAAATCAGATGTAATGAATCTGAGGTGTTTCTGGCAGCTCTTGCCAGTGTTACATCTGACAACTTCACTGCAGCCTTGGTTCTGAATACAAAGCATGCGGCACTCTACATTGCGCATGCCCTCAGGCCACACACAGCCAACACTGCTGCCAAAATGCAAAAAAAAAAGTTGCAGGTGCAAAAAGTTTAAGAAGCCAGGGTCTAGATCACTTCCAGCAATTTATCAACAAGCAATTTGAGTTTTGGAGCACAGTACAAGTGAATGGTATACCATGCAAACTACAGAAGAGAATCATATACCATTCCTGTAAGTTGTCATGGAAACTTTCCCATTGGATGAGTGCCATCTCCAGCAGCCACCTGCATTGTTGATCAAACTCACAACACTGCCTTTGAACTGAGGCCAGCCCATCCTTAGGGGAAGTAGACTTATTGTTGCATGAGTGCCCTGCACATCACTCAAACACCTAAACTCTCTAAGCAATTCAGACTCCCAGAGAAAGAGAACATCTGCTTTGCTGTTCCACAACAAGTCTTGGGGCTTTTAGTTTCCTCAGTCCCATAGGCCAACAATGTCCCTGTATTCATGTCCTTCATACAGGCTCTTGGAAAGAAAACCAGAGCTTAGCACTCTGCCTGGCACAAAGTGGGTGCTTAACAAACGATTATTTATTACACTTTTGTTTCACACAGTGGAGGAAACAATACACGTGCCACTACCAACATATGTTATTCCTTCTGCTATTTGTTAGCTTAAAATGAATTTCTGTTACTAAATGTTGTTTCTAGGCTTTATTTTCCATTCATAAAAAGCCCAACCCATCCATTTCTATGAACCCCAATGTTTTTTGACAGAAGTGCTGTCAGCAGTCTTATTTCACACTAATCCTCTCAAAACACATGACCGAATGATTCACCAATGCTTTGCCATGAAACATTTTATGGAGGTCACTTCAGTGGAAACTTATCCTTTAGGAAGATCATTCTTCTCTTGAACTGCTCTCATTGGGCAAAGAGTATTTCATTCTCTTTAACAAAGATGATATTCTGTTTCTGGGGGCAAACTTCTACCTCTGGATCCAAATTCTCTCATCTGAGTACAACCAGAATAGATCTAGTACATTTTTACGTGGTAGCCATTAGAGTACCTTAAGAGAACTAGCCCCACCCCCCAAAAGTCCCAGTTCCTTCAAGTGAAGGTACTAGGGCCTGAGCTGGAGGTCCTTTTTTAAATTTATTTACTTTTAGTTTTCAACATTCACTTTTATAAGATTTTAAGTTCCAAATTTTTCTTCTCCCTAAGACAGCAATCATTTTAAACATATTTCCACATTAGTCATGTTGTGAAAGAAAAATCAGAACAAAAGGGTAAAACCACAAGGAAGAAAAAAAAGAGAGAGAGAAAATAGTGTGCTTCGATCCACATTCAAATTCCATAGTTCATTCTCCAAATGTGGGAAGTATTTTCCATCATGAGTTTTGGAATTGTCTTAGATCATTGTATTGCTGAGAAGATCTAAGTCTATCAAAGTTGGTCATCATACAATGTTGCTGTTACTGCGTACAATGTTCTCCTGGTTCTGTTCACTTTACTCAGTATCAGTTCATATAAGTCTTTGGAGGTTTTTCCTAAAATCTCCCTGCTCATCACTTCTTATAGAACAATAGTATTCCATTACATTCATATACTACAACTTATTTAGCGATTCCTCAATTAATGGGCTTCCCCTCAATTTCCAATTCTTGGCCACCACAAAAAGAGCTGCTATAAATATTTTTGTACATGTGGGTCCTTTTCCCATTTTTATGACCTCTTTAGGGTGCAGACATAGTTGTGCTATTGTTGGATCAAAGGGCATACACAGTTTCATAGCCCTTTGGGTATAGTTCCAAATTGCTTGCTAGAGGCTCATCTGCCATGTGGTCTGGACTTCTCTGCATGTTCTCTGGCTTAACCAAAGACCAGCCATACACTGAGTGGTGCAGGTTACAGACAGACCATCACCTCCATTTTCACAACTTCTAGTACCTTATGCTCACCTTAATACAATCTTAAGGTCACAGTGGAATTTTTGGTTGTCATGTGATATCCTATTAGGCTTCCTTATCCTTTGGTATGCAGTTGTAAGAAGGTTAGAAGATGGGAGGAGAGAGGAGACACCTATTGTTGTACCAACCACCTTGGACTCATTTTTCTCCTGGTCAATAGAAGTCTTTCTGAGGTGCTTCACAACCAGAGAGCTACAGCCTTCTTCTCTATTCTCCACGAAACTCTCTCAATTAGTTATCTCCTCATCTGCCATGGGCTCACTTCCCTCCTCTCTGACACTCACTACTCCATCTGAAGGTCCAGCCCAGCATTTCTCCTGAACTCATTTGTTCAGCTGGCTGTCTCCCTATGCCTAGATTTCATGTTCCTACCCAACCTCATATTATCAGCACTTCCCAGTACTTCCACATTGAAAAGGTCCAATGGCTACTACATTCATTGAAGCCACCTCATGATCCCTAGATGCTCTCCTTTCATGGACTTGGAAAGCCCTGAAAAATCCAATTCCTGACCCCAAACTTCAAGAGGAATTGTTTTCTCCAAAGTGCTTAATGATGTGTTCATAGCACAAATTAATAGGCTCTTCTCAGACTTCCTTCTTCTTGATTTCCCTTCAGCTTTTGACACCACTGACCAACTTGTGCTCATGGATATGCTAAACACTGCATGTCCAGCCTGACTGCTCCTTTTTGGTTGCCTTAACTGGCCTACTCTCATATTGTCTCAGGCCCACTGTGTCTGATTGAACCCCAATCTTCTGTCTCTTTTCTTTTCTCTCCATTATGATCTCTCAAGGGGTGAGAGAGTAGACCCTCCTTAGGATCATGCCTTCAGGGGCCTTTTCTCTGCCATTCACTGTCGCATCTCCAGATCTAGACCAGAATAACTCCTGAGTACCAGGCCCGTAATGAATATGGAACATTACCCTCTGATTGGATAATTTCAACTTGATGTCCCCTAAACATCTTCAAACCCCCTGAGTCTAGAACAGATCCCCTCATCCTGCCTCATCCAAAGCACCCTACTTCTTTTTGGCTTCTCTACTCCTTTCAAGAGCACCAAGATCAAGCTTGGAACCCAGGTTCACTGCCTCAGGGACAACCTCGACTCCTTACTATCATGGCACCTACCAGATCAGTTAGCAAAACTTGTGTTTTCTACCTTCATAACATCTTTGGACTCCAAACACTTCTGTCCATTCACATGGTCCCCACCTTAGATCAGACCATCACAGCACCTCTCTGCAAGAGCCTTTCATTAGCCTCCCTGCTTCAGTCTTCTTTGAACCCAGACTCCTCCTCCACTCAACTGCACAAGGGAGTTTTCTAAATCATTCTTCTGAGTCCTCTCCCCCTTTAACCTGCAAAAGTCGCAGGCTAATTATCTTGTAAATTCAAGTTGTTTCCTGTTCTATGCTGATTTAAACAGATACCTTGCCTGGAATTTTGCCCTCTTCATCGGATGGCCCCTTCTCTACCTTTCCAGTCTCATTTCTTTGCCCATATTCTATGGACCTACCCATGCTGGCCAATCTTCTTTCACTCAGATGACACATTTTATGTCCCTTCTGCTTGCCTTTGCACTGGCTGCCTGTCCACCCTACCCAGAATCCTCTCTTCTCTCCTCCCCTTCCCCTATGAATTTCTAGACTCCCTTTGAGTCTCAGCTCTAATCCTACCTATAACAGAACCCCTTTCCTCCAGTGGCTTGTGCATCCATTTCTGAGATCTACCATCAACTCTTCATGTTTGTGGCAGGTACCTTGTTTTTTTCATGTTCTCACAGGCTGGACAGCAAAGACTCTGTTGACAAGTTCTTCTATCCATAGCCCTGATCACAATAGCTGGCTCAGTACAAACACTGGGGAGTTGGTTTGTGCTTAGGTTGATTTTGGAATGCTTGTTTAATTGATGTAACCCACGAAGTTGTGCCCCACTACCATTTCAATTCCATTCAGAAACTTACGTGATTCTGTCATTTCATTCTCAAACAGCATTGATTAAAAGAAACAAGAATCCACGGCCTGTCAAAAGGATCAGAAAGCCAGGATGGCAAGCATATTGAAGGAGGAAAATATGAATGGGGAGAGGAATGCCATGAAGTCAAGCACTAGCCACATT